CTTCTGTTAAGAGTGACTTGGCTTGCTTGATAGTGTGCCAATGTCTCACTTCTATATCTCCCTCTCCACTCCACGGTGACCTTCGGTGCTCTCATCTGAACAAAAGTACTTTCATTCCAGAGAACAGCACATTGATTATCTACAGTAACTTTTACAAAAGTGCAAAATTACAAGCACTGCATTACCGAGATCGAATTAGACTTCGTCAAGCTTTTGTTACGTTAACTTGATAACCCGGTCACACCGACACTGTGGCCAGGTTATCAAGTTCCCGTAACGTTGCAATGTGCCTTATCGATACGTCTAGCGCGTTGCAATGGTGATTATATATCATCATTGCGACAGTGTAGACGTATCGACAAGGCACAAACAACTCGCAGAGCTGGCGCTTGGAGACAGAGATAAGAGTACGCGGACCAGCTGATACGGAAAGAGCAAAAAGGGCATACACATCACGTATAGCATTCCACGCACGTGGATGCAATTATGACGTGACAACCCCGTAACATCAGTGCAGCAGAACAATATGCCTATAATTGTAATAAAGCAATTAACTTCGGCACACCTTTATACCAATTATGAAGACTGTATTCACGTGTACACCGACGGATCATGTCTGAATCAAAGCTCTACGTCGGCATTCTTTGTACCTGCATAACAAGCGAGAAAAGTTTTTAAACTCGGCCATTTCACAACATCCGCAACGGCAGAATTCTATGCAACACTCTGTGCTTTACGCTTCATATGTTTACAGCCAGGTCCACTTCTACGGGTAATTATCAGTGGCTCACAGTCCTCATTAGTTTCTTTAAAAGGAATCAGCTTGGGCAACAAAGCTAGTGAGCTCGCATATGAAATACAGAAGACGTACGCTATAGCAAGAGATTCAAACCACACCATAATGTTCCAGTGGGTGCCAAGCCACTGTGAAATCACAGGAAACGACATAGCTGTTCACATTGCACATGCAGCACATCAAGAAAATAATATACCACTGCTACCTCTATCGATGAGCCATGCACGATGTCTAATAAATAAGCTGAGCTGTCAACTGTCAATGGAATCCTGGTTCGAAAATGATACGCAAAACTCTCAGTTGTATAACATTGATCCTGGTGTAAAATTCAATATTCCGTTAAAGGTTAGCCGATCGGTAGAGAAAGACATCTATAGGCTTCGACTTGGTACAGCCAACACGAAGGTCTTCTTGTATAGAATAAGGAAAGCTGGCAGTCCTACTTGCCTATATGGAGAAGCTCAAGAAGACGTGGAGCACATTCTTCTGCATTGTAGAAATCATGATGTACCTCGAAAGAACGTTTTTACAAAATAAACCTAGCCTTGCGGGGCAATCCATTCACCGTAGGGACGGCTTAATGCTATCTCATAGTTGAGTACCAAGTACTCGAAATCGTTAACAATTTTTTCTAAACACATAAGTGACCTCCATCAATTGCAAAAATTTTGAATCTATGGTCAAAAGGAAAGCTACAAGCCATTGCAGCGCGTGCAGTCTGGAGTAATCAAAAATGGCTCAAAAGTACTGAACAAGAAAAAAAATGTACTTCGTCACTGCTAACCGGTGTGTTTTAAAACAGTATTTTCGTGTTTCAATAAGATTTTTTTTTTGGGGGGGGGGGGGGGGGAACCTTTTTCAAAATAGTTCAGTATTTAAGCGACAAGGTCGCCTTAGACATGTTATTGAATTTTCATGTTTTGTGCAAACACTTCAAATTGGCGTGATTACTATTGTTTTTACAAACTCTGTGCAGTGTGGACACCTTTCTGTGTGGTGTGGACATTCAGTATTGAAAATGTGGACTCATTTTGTAAGCGTTGTGCTATGTACATATGTACAGCCTTATGTTTGCTACAAAATATGCGATGTCGACATTTGTCCAAGAGGAGTAGCAGCGCCACGCTATGGCACCAACCTCTCCTTATATACATTTATTTAACAAAATGGCACTCGGTATATAGCACAGAGCACGCGCTGTCCTTTACAGTTGTTTTTCTCCGGACGCGCTGTCCTTTACTTTCTCTGTGCCCTTGTTTGACCTTTTTTGTATTAGCGCAGTTCATTCTTTCAGAAATGGACAATAATCAACCAGCCCTATTTGGCGTTCTTCCGTTATACGGCAGATGGTTAGCCCTTATAGTTAAGGGCCTTGAAGAGCCGTTTACTAAGGGAAAGCGAAGTACGAAGATTTTGTTATTGATTCATAAATCTGGTGACCACAAACACGCTGGTCACCACTGTACACTATTTCGTTAATCGAATATTGATTCAGACTATGCGTAAGATCAGTAAACACACTGGGATATTTTTCTTGGTTTGTTATTCACTTGCTTTTTTCGATATTTGGTTTCTTTCTTAGTTTTAGCTCAACAGTCTGTCGTAGTGAAAAAGTAATTACGATGCACGGCTGCTGACCTGAAGGTCGCAGTTTTGATACATGCCGCATTGACTGCATTTCGATGGTGGTGAAATGTTGGAGGCCAGTTTACCGTGTGACATCAGTGCAGGTTAAAGAACACCAGATTATCCAAATTTCGGGAGACCTCCACTACAGCGTCTTTTATAATGACAAGTCTATTTTTTTCTCTTAAAGTCCCAGGTATTATTATTGTCCTTGAACACCTTGTTACGACGATGCAGTTCATTCGCGTATGCATTCAGTATTCATATCTGCACATAAACCGAAAATTGAACCCTTTACGTCGTTCTGAGCCCGTCAAAGACCCCGTATAGCAGCGTTGTGGGCCAGTCGAAGTAGACAATATGGCCATTGGTAGAGTGTTTGGAAATTAAGAAAACGATAAATGAAATTATTTAATAAAATTTCAAATGAACTATAAAAAATTAGCGGATCATTAAGTTCCACCTTTAAGAGTTTGAAACGATGACATCTCTACTGCATACTTCAACCACATAGTGGATTTTGTTTTAATGTATGATGTTACCCGGGAAATTTAAATTGTGTATTGCTACAATGTAATCAATATAGTTGAAAGTAACTTGTGCCAGCGTTTCTTTCGCACGTGGCTCCATTCTGGTTAATGGGTAGGGTATCAAGCTTTACACCAAAATCAATCATGCGCACGAAATATTTTTCGTACTTGTTATGCACCCACTAAGTGGTCTCAAGGCAGTATGCAGTGTAACCTGTGTGCCTTTTGCAATGGCTGGCCCGCTTTAAACCTCGAAGTCGTTGTCATGATCAAGTGGTCAGACGCCCGATGGCAAGGCACGCTGGCAAGACGCAATGTTACTCCGATAAGATGCAGGTTACATTGTGAAGACTGTATACAGGATGCGCGTGTTTGTAGAGGAAGTTACTTTCACTACATTTCTAAGCAGACGAAGTTATTTTCCCCCCATTTCCAAGCAGACGCATGGCTGTGTGGTAGACCACCTGCTTGCCACACAAATGGCCTGCGTTAGACCCTTCCTCAGTTGCGCAAACTTTTAATATTTATTTCATTTGCATCTGTCTCAGGTATTCGGTCACCCAGAAGATGAGTATTTTTCGTTCACAACTAATGGCGCCTACGCCAATGCCGACGCCACAACTTATCCGAAACATCCTCGTTAAGGTTGTCACGTTAAAGGAGCCACCACCAGCCTGTTGCAAATTATTTAATCTTCTTTCGCTTTTAATCTTCTCGTATTAGTCAAGTAAATGTTGCTTCGTAGATCTTATTGCAGTGAACTTCTTGCATTCCTCTGCCGTTAGCCTTTTTATGAACACTGTTTGAGCGCTTTTTATAGACGGTGTATTGTTTTTCCATTACGGTTCTCACTATCTTCAGTTCTTTCGAACCAGAACTCGAGCGTGATTAGGTAAAGCTGGAGCCAGACAGAGTATGAAATCAGATGCATGAGAAAATGAACGAAAATTGTCTAATCATATTCTCGGCGTTTCTTTCAAGAATACCGACGCTAAGATACACCTGTGCCAATATGTCGTCATGGGCGACTAGACGGAGTCGTGAAAATAATTTCGAATGCAGATTTGGAAAAAAGGTAGGTTCTGATTTGAATTTTTCAACCCTCCACGATAATAAGAAGACGAGCTTTATATTTAACTGCAACAAAATCCATACTGCTGTGACTCTGGATTGCTTTGTTTACTATAGCATAACTTTATTTTCTAACCTAATGTATGACATTGAGATCTGCTGCTAATAGTAATCATGATGAAAAAGGACGTTAATGCATTGAACATAACGAGTCGGTTACCTCTGCCGCTTACATGGAGACGCTGCGAAAGGCAGTGCCTCTGATTTTGCGGAAATATAACTGTGCTTCACCAATGAAAAAAGTGTGTACAAGTAGTGTGTGTGTGTGTGTGGGGGGGGGGTCTGTGTGTGTCTGTGTGTGCGTGTGCGTGTGTGCGCGTGTGCGTGTGTGCGCGCGCGCGTGTGCGTGTGTGTGTGTGTGTGCGTGTGTGTGTGTGTGTCTGTGTGTGCGTGTGTGTGTGCGCGTGTGCGTATGTGTGTCTGTGTGTGCGTGTGTGTGTGTGCGCGCGCGCGCGTGTGTGTGTGTGTGTGTGTGTGTGTGTGTGTGTGTGTGTGTGTGTGTGTGTGTGTGTGTGTGTGTGTGTGTGTGTGTGTGTGTGTGTGTGTGTGTGTGTGTTGTAAAGTTGTAAAGCTTAAAAAATCACTGAATACCAAGACTTCGAAAGTGATTGTGTCTCCAAGCTGTCTTTTGGTCTCGCACATTCAAATTACGACAATAAATAAGCACAGCCAGCCGCTGTGCAAACTAAAATAAACTATGTTGGTTCAAAGAGAACACCCCAGTGACAGATTCAGCGAAGGTGACGAGGACATCCGCCGTTCGTGTTCGACGCACGTAGGCACGGCGATTCCTCCGTAGCTAGCGATTTTCACAACATTGTTCCGTGTCTGTTTTTCTTTTCTTTCACTTTTCTCGTACTTCGTCATCGGTTCCATCGAGGACCGCCCACCTCTGCGGAAAGCAGCACCTGCGCTATCACCGGTGTCGGCCACTCACCGCAACGACGATAAGGAAATAGTAGTGTGTGACGAGGTGAAAAACACCCTTGCATAACACATTGCCAGTTTGCCGTGCCACTTACCCTTCGACGTGTTTCAGATCAAGATACCGAAAGAGTGTCGATAGTGGCGCCGAGATATCGTCGCCATTGTTCGGCGCTTCGATTTCGACACCGGCAGCAATTCATTCTATTCCCGGCCAGCGCAGCTCCCTCCAGGCAGCACATTTTGTCATCCGGCACTATCGTCGAAGCGTGCTTCCTTCCCGGTGTGGCTCAGCTGAGCGGCCACGCGAACGTGAATTCCGTCGTGCGTGCCCCCTTTCACTTGCCTCGGGGGAGGACTTCAGCGGTTAGACGACCCGACAGCAACGCCACGCGCGCTTTTTCTCGCAGTACACCTACCTCGTACACACGCGCACGGCCTTCGTCTGGCGCTGCGCTGTGACCGCTTGCTCCATGCGAGGAAACCTGTTGCTTCTAGCTACAAGGTTCAGAGAAGAAAGAAACAGGACACGCGTTGAAACAGTAGGCCGTTTTGCGTCACCGTTATACTCTTTCAAGACGGGTTTTTTTTCGTTTCGGTCTTCCAGACGGCACGCAGTGATCGCAGCTTTGCTGTAGCAGCGGCGTGCGCGTCTCGTCTCCCTCGGCAAAGAGCTAGCGCTGCTGCGGGCCATCGAAGATGGCCCGTCCTTGGCAGCGCAGCCTGGACATCATGCCACCAAGTCGGAAAGGTAGCATGCCGGAAGAACCTCCCGGGGCCGAACTGTACCCGACGAAGCTGTCCGTGGGTGAGGTGAATCCTGCCTTCCACGACGATACGTGTGCGGATGCCACTGAAATGCAGTCCCCGGTTTCCCTCGGCTCCACCTCCGCTCACTGCGGTCGTGCGGACTGTTCGAGCCAGCGGTCGGCGTCGCCCCTCTCCGAGAAGACACCCTGGAAGAAGCGGCTGCCCTTCTTCACCAAGGTGGCCGTAGCCGTGCTGTTCCACGCTTACCTGGCGGCGGGAATCTCGCTCACATGGAGCAGCACACCCGACTACTGTCACGACGTGAAGTTCCTCACCGTCGTCACCGCGATCGGCTACGTTTACGTTCTGTGGTGCGTCGTGTGTGCGCTGTTGGGGAAAACCGGTGCGGTGTGTGACGCGTACCAAAGCCTCCGCGATCGGATCACAGTGACGTGGGTCAAGAGCCGCCTGCTGCGGCCATGCACGTGGTTGTTAGTGTGGTTGTGTCTCCTCTCGTTTCTGGTGTACGATTCCATCAAGGACATCCAGCGACTCATCTCTCTCGCCGGTATCGTCGTCCTTCTCCTCATCGGATTCATTTTCTCTAATGCCCGCTTCAGGGTCGACTGGTACCAGGTGATGTGGGGGTTGCTGCTTCAGTTCCTACTCGGACTCGTCGTGTTGCGCTGGAGCCACGGTAGGGACGCACTCCAGTGCCTCGCCAACAAGGTCAAGAACTTCCTAGACTACACCAACAGTGGGTCTCACTTCGTATTCGGCCACCTCGCTTCTGGATGGAACTTGACAGAAGCGCTCGGCGACTTGGTACCTAAAAAGACATAATGCAGAACGTCACCAACGTCACTAACATCACCACTATGCCTATTGTCGACACCATCAAGTCACTGCCCGCCGTTTTCATGTTCCAGGCACTCCCGGTCATATTTTTCTTCAGCTTCTTTGTGAACATCCTGTACTTCTATGGCATCATGCAACGTCTCGTACTTATCGTGGGCAGCTTCCTGCAATTCACCATTGGGACCACGGTGTGCGAGTCGATGACGGCCGCCGCCAACATCTTCCTGGGGATGACCGAGGCGCCGCTGGTTGTTCGGCCATTCCTCTCCAAGATGACAAAATCAGAGCTGCACACGGTCATGACCGGCGGCTTCGCAACCATCGCCGGTAGTGTCATGGCCGCGTACATACACTTCGGCGTGAGCCCTGCCCACCTGATGACGGCGTCCATCATGAGCGCGCCGGCCGCGCTAGCTTATTCTAAGCTGCTCTACCCGGAGACGGAAGAAAGCCAGACTCAGCGTGATAACATTGTGATGCCCAGGAGCGAAGAAAGCAACGTCCTGGAAGCGGCTTCGAACGGAACCAACGTGGCTTTGGCCATGATCGGCAGCATCGTGGCCAACCTGGTTGGTTTCCTTGCCTTCATCGCGTTCCTGAATAGCACGCTCCAGTGGTTCGGCTCCATCGTCACTCTAGACTTCCTAACCTTCGAGTGGCTCTTGGCCAAAATCTTCACTCCGTTGGCTTTCATAATGGGCGTTCCCTGGAAGGACTGCGGCGTCGTTGGAGAGTTGATTGGCATCAAGACGTTCGCCAACGAGTTCATCGCCTACTCGAGGCTCGCCGGCGTCATCCACCAGCTCGACGAGAGGTCGACGGTGATAGCAACGTACGCCCTGTGCGGCTTCTCGAACCTTGGTTCTATTGGGATCTGCATCGGCGGATTAGGGGCCATCGCGCCCGACCGCAAGAGTGACTTGGCCAAACTGTCTTTCAGAGCTCTGGCAGCCGGATCGGCCGCTTGCTTCCTCACGGCATGTGTGGCCGGAAGCCTCATAGCCTAAGACCACTTTGCTGCTCGAAATGGAATTGAACGTGTTCGTCGTTTTAGGCATCATGGTGCCCGGACTCAGTGCTTCACTTGTTTTACAGTTTTACGAAGGAAGCTCGTGTCTGAATCGAGCGAAATGGATAGCGAGTTTCTTCCAGTGATCACTGCCTCGGCATGGGTGACCTTATGTCTAAAGAAAGAAAAGAAAAGATGAACTTCGCAAACCGTTGAAGGCAAAGTCATTAGGCTAGGGCATTATACAGAGAGTTACTCGATATTAAGAAAAAAATTAGAAGTACCGTGTGAAGTTTGCGAACGTGTGATTGAGGGAGATAAACATTACAGGCCCAAAATATGTTTGGCGGTAAAACTTTGGTGAAGCAACTAGGACAGACTCATCTGCTAGAAAGTATGTGTGCGTCAAGCGCTGGTATTTAGTGTGATCCGCATCAAACGTATCGCAGCATCATTGAAGGAGGCCCACGGTACGGCATCATGCTCTACCATTGTAGAGTACCAAGTACTCAAAATCGTTGACCAGTTTTTCTAACATGGTCGCACGTCATAGAGGTAACCTCACGACTTAAAATGTTTCGTTCTCCAGTTGTTTTAAGATTGAATAATGTACCATGTAAAAAAACATCGTACATTTGATGCGGCGAACCAACGTTACCCATGTCGCGCTTCACGCTGTTTCTCTGCCAGTGTCGCTGTGCAGTCCAGGGAACCCCTCCGACAACAAGCGCCATGTCTGAAGTCGTACACAACACAGACGTACTTTTATCTCGCCACCCATTGCAACATCTTTGTAAGAAGCTGCAAAAGTCACCTTCGTTTTATCTTGATATCCATTGATTGCTGTACATGAACGTGGCGAGTTTTTTTTTAAATGATGATACGTCGGCATATCACTGAACATGTGCGGTGAGATATGTATTTATTAATATATTTTTGCTTAGAAATAACCACCTTTTTAACGCATATAGGTTTGGTAATTTCTATTTTCAATTCGTTATGCGTTCGTACTTTAATTTCTAGTCCCTCATGAGAGAACAAGACGTTGCGGTGACCTCTCACAAATGCAACATAATACAGACTTACTTACGCAGTACAAATTGTATCACTATATCATTCATATTAGCACTGAATGGCTACGTTATCAAGCAGATTCACGAAAAAAAATTGTACTGGGTTATCTTTTAATCGAATTTTAATCGAAGAAGGTGGGAGCTATGGCTCTGTCAGTGGGGAGTATGTTTCCTTTTTTTTTTACGTTGATCTCCTACCCGCCTTCTTGCCACAGACCATGTCGACGTACAAGTATGAATGTTACTTGCATGTGTGCTTTTTGTACTTTGACGCGAGTGTGACGGCTCAAATCACGTGACGATTGTGACGTACATGTGTACCGGACTCTCCTAGCGGTACTACTGACCATATCGACTTTGCTTGTGACGTTTCATGAAGCACTTGTAGTTATATAACGACGATAGTATTTCTTGGGGACCATCGACGCAAAAAATTTCTGTCTCTCTGACTGTACATTTTGTCTGTCCGCCCTTAACGATACCCCAAACGGTACCAAGCTACATACCAAACCGCTGACCCCATCCGCAGCGCCCACCAATATTGCTCAAGGTTTAGCTTTCATACTTGTGTGAATGTCAATTAAAAAGCAATTATTGCCCATATTTGAGGCATCATGACAACACGTCAATATTCTGTATGTGTGTGTTTTTACTAGAAAAGGCACACATAAGTAATTCTGAGGACCAATGGCGCTTATCACGCTCCGCTCGCGATGCAACGCTTGCTCGAAAAGGCAAGTGTTCCCAACGCTTTGCTAAGACGACATGCTGGTGGCATCCACCCGTCGCCTGGCGTTCGACACCTTATCGCTTCCTAGACAAGCGCGCACGCCACGTGCTTCGTTTTCCAAGATAACTGCCAGTGGAGGCGAAATTGTTGTAGGCCAGTGTGCTCAGATTTGGGTGCACGTTAAAGAACCCCAGGTGGTCCAAATTTCCGGAGCCCTCCACTACGGCGTCTCTCATAATCATGTGGTGATTTTGGGACGTTAAACCGTACATATCTATCTAAGATAACTGCCAGATAGCGCTCATGTCTGACGTGTGACGTGACTTGATGCGCTAATTCGCCTCCGCTGCACGCTCGAGGCACTCTAACGCAGCGCCTCCGGAATACCATTCACCGATTTTCTTGCGCAGAACATCAAATAAATGCTTTGTTCACTCTCTCCACACGCAAGACTATCGTCTTTCGACGACGTTTGCAGTGTAACATGCAGATACAGGGCCAATATTTTTTTCGTATTTCTTTTTATTCCCTTCCATGGCATATTTTCATTCAATATGGCATATTTGATATTTGGTATTTCGGGACAACCGGCTGCTATCATTCCTAATGCTATAAAACGCATTAAGGCAGATTTCATATCGCGGTTAATGTGTAAACGTTATTACGGCTAGCAATGAGAGAATTTTACCTTTATTCAAAGATGACTTTCGACACACATACTCTTCACATCTCCGATGCTCAATGATTCAACTATGTTTAGTTCATAATGTTACAGTATCTTAGGTTAACACCCCAATACCACAATATGATTATCAGAGACGCCGCAGTGGAGGGCTCCGGAAATTTTTGACTATCTGGTGTTCTTTAACGTGAACTGACATCACACAGTAAACGGGCATCAGCTATTTCGCCTGAACCACCGCAGCCACGACCTCTGGGTCAGTAGCAGAGCACCTGAACCACTAGACCACCGAGGCGGACTCTGTTCACTTCAGTCCCTTTTCCCTTCAATTCCTTTGTGCTGACTCTTTCGCCTTACAAAAGCTCACGACTCATTTGACACTTGATAAGAGTGACGCTGGAAAGAGAGGATCCACCCGTAGAAACCGCCTATAAAACCACCTGGAGAAACATCATCACTGCCTTGAATACTTGTTGCCGATTTTTTCACTATTCTGCACTTTGTTTAGGTGGTGTTTCAAATACACCTCCTAAGGCACGTACCTCTTCATGAGCATTGGCAAAGATTATGAACATGCTCTCACATGGCCTGTGCTGAATGCTTTTAGTCAAAGTGTTTTAGACAAAGTGTTAGCTCGGCCCCATGCAATCAGGAACGTACCCTGTTGCATAATTTGGCGTGAAAGCGATTAATCACCGACATCTCGAAAGTTTGTAAGGTTAAAAATAACAATCATAATAAGTATTGGAACGTACACGAAGCTTAAAATGAGCAATAACGTCAGCGCCCGTAGATTGAGGCGAGCACGTCAAGCGTCCAACCTGGCGGCCACAGAAGGACGCGTCCCGAATCTACCCTTCTGGCCCCATCGTTGCCACAACGGTGTCCACCGTACAATCGCAGAGCAATAAATATGCACGTCTCAGGCGTTTGAACATTTTGGATCGTTTACGGACATCTTCATCTATGCTGACGTATGTATACGCTTAACTATCTGCACTGACGTGTGTGCCTCCTACGACCGCATCAAATGTCGTCCAGTGCACACGCACAGTGTTTTGAGGGGGTTGTTGGGGTCACCTTCAAGAAGCCAAACTGAATGACAAATGGTGACTGTTCACACCCAATGTTGGTGCGTCCTGCTTGCATGGTGTTTATCCGTGACCTTGTTGTGTTATCAAAATTCTATTAGTCTTGAATTCTTTTTACATCGCAGTGTTTCCACAAACACAGGGTAGTGAACGGAGACTTTCCTCTTATTAATCTCCCTGCCCTTTTTTGTGTACTTCTCTCTCCCTCTCATACATAATTCATATTCATGGAGCTTCTGTTTCATGGTCTTGCCGCTACTGATGAAAGCATTTCCCGCCTTGTGCTCCGAAAAACTTCAGACTGTGTCTTTGCAGGATTGATTGTTGTATTTGCTTTTGATTTTATTGTTTGTCTGTTTGTTTGTTTGTCGTTTTATATCAATTTCATGAAGAGTATGTTGTGCTGTTGTTACCACTTGTTGCAGTTCTAAATATTGAAAACCAAGGAGACTTAGCCAGCTGACAACGGTGACACCTGGTCATTTTCGCGCACGCACGAGGTTTTTAGAAAAAAAACGTGAGTAATTTACAGTACAACACATACCACAGTCTCAAACGAGGAACGAGGGCACGTATTTGTTGACGCGGCTTCCTACGCCAATGGGAAAGCGTTTGTGGCAGTGGTGGTCGATGGGGCTGGCCATGTCGTCAACTCAGCGACGGTCAGGACGAAAGACCCAATCATTGCGGAACAGGTGGCCATCGCCTTAGCACTCAAGATGGATAACGTTGAAGTCGTCTACAGTGATTCTATGGCAGCCCTACGGGCGTTCGCCAAGGGGACGGTCTCTGAACAAACGCTAAGAATACTGCAAGGCAAGAACATAACGCATCATCTTCTAAGTTGGTTCCCAGCTCACCTTGGGCAAATCAACGATTCCCCTCCCAATCTCAACGAAGCAGCACACAAGGCGGCGCGAGAACTCTCCAACCGCGCCTCCCCGGGGATGCGTTCTACCGGTGAAGGGGATAACCGGGAAATTCTTACAACATATAACGAGCTCACTAAACATTTCTACCTGTCTAGAAGGATTTTCCCTCCACCTCACAAAAATCTAACCCGGCCCCAATCACTTACATTAAGGCTTTTGCAAACGCGGATGTACCCTACTTTGAAAATGTTACACATCATGTACCCTGACCTATACCCAAGTAATCTTTGTCCACATTGTGGGGAAATAGCTTCATTAGAACACATGCTCTGGCAGTGCACCAAATTCGCTCATTTATCGCACATCACCTCTGCCAGATGGGAGGCGGCAATCCGCAGCTCGTCCTTGGCAGATCAGCTCTGGGCTGTCCACCAAGCCCGCGAGGCGGCTGAGGAGCTTGGCATCTCAGTCCCCACGTGGGAGCTGCCCGCAACACAGTGATCTATGTTTTGGAGGACCAAATAAAAGTTTATCCAATCCAATCCAACACATACCACGGCCACTCGCTAAAAAAAATGTGTCCTATGGCGTCGCGCTGAATCACTGGGGCGCGAGCGTGAATGCTGTCTTGACAGTTCCGTCCGCGCTGGCGCAGGTGGACGTACAGCCACGCACTTTTAATACAAAATAAAGAAAACAACAAGGCTGTGATGAACGCGAAACATTGTATCCCGTTTATATGGTCATGTCGAGGTGCCACTGAGTTTCAAGGTGTCATTGAAATATAATAATAATAATAATAATAATAATAATAATAATAATAATAATAATAATAATAGCCTGGAGTTTTTTAAGCCCAAATCACGATGTCGTTATGAGAAACGCCGTAGTAGAGGGTAACGGAAATTGCGACCATCTGGTCTTCTTTACCGTGCACTGACATCGTGACAGCACACGAAAGATAATAAAGGATGTCAACATCGGGTAACACCAATTACCGCTTGACACTGAACGGCGTCAAGATTCCTTGTGATAAAAAAAAATGGCAGCATATCCACGGGGTGAATGATGGAGAGTGGGGCGAAGCATCCGTCCGTCCATTCCTTCTTGCTTCCGTCCGTCCATGCGTATGTCTGTGTAACCATCCGTGCGTCCATCCGCCCGTTTGTGCGTGCGTCTCTTCATGCGTCCACACGTCCATCCGTGCGCCCATCCCTGTGTTTGTCCATGCATCCACCCCTGCGTCCATCCATGCGTCCATCCATACATGCAGCCATCCATGCGTCCGTCCATGCATCTGTCTTGGTGTCCGTTCGTTCATCTAGTCAACACCCCAAGCACCACCATATTAGGGTGGCTAGAATATGAGGTGTGAAAAGCGGCCGCAGAAACCGGTCCCCAAGGCGCGCCGATGCCGCTTGGGGCGCTGCACGCACCGGCGCGGGTAGCCTTTCGCAGGCGATGTACGAATGAGCGCGCGCTGCTCGCCGCAGCGCGCTGCTCGCCGCAGAAAAACGAAGCAGTTTTAGCTGCCTATAGGCAGCTAAAACTCATCTGAGTTAATGTATACATTAACTCAGATGAGTCACGCATTAAGAGCGCCAAAATTTACCTATACCGCTAAGCGTGTGACTTGAGAATTGTTCCCAGCAGCATAAATTTAGCAGACACTTTTTCACAAAAACACAACTTTATTTCCACGCATGCCATTCATGCACTGCCACTAGAGTACGCATGGCTTTACTCTCCGCCCTTTCTTTTCGTCTTCCTTTTGGTTCATCCCTTTCAAAAAAAAGTGGACACGAGTGAGGCAATAAAATCGCACCACACTTTTCGTCAAAAAAGCAGCATGCTTTGCGCAACCAATTTGTTGCGTCTTTTACTCGAAACAGCACTTTCAGCCACGCTTTTCCGTCTCTTTCTCTCCTTGGGCAGAGCTTTCGTCAAGTATTTAGGCAAATTAGGAAAAATCGTCGGCACGGCGTCATTTGTTAAGGTCGGCACAGCGCGCGGCATGT